GTGCGCCCCCCCCTGTGTGCGGCCCCCCCCCCCCCCCCCAGCTGCCCTGTGCTTGAGCTTTAGGGGGGCCATGGGGGGTCCCGGGTCACCCCTTCCGGCTCCTACCCCACGGCTGTCAGGGTGGCCATTACTCCGGATCCAACACGTTTGTTTAATCAGCCTCAATAAAACCAGTTTACTATGTACCTGTTTCCTGTCTGAGGGGCAGCACTTCCTGTCCTGAATAGGGCCCCACTTCCTCTCCTAAATAAAGTCCTGCTTCCTGGATGGGGGCAGTACACAGTGTCCTGATTGGAGCTCTGCTTCCTGTCCCAAATGGGACACAGGGACTTAGGGCCTTGTCCAGACAGGAAGTTGCTTGTGTGGGTGGCAGCACTTCCTGTGCTAAGGGGGTTTTGCTTCCTGTGCAGCAAACTGCACTTCTGGGGATGGAGGATACTTCCTGTCCCAAACAGGCCTTGGCTCAGGGCATGGGACTGAGTGTGGAGGGAAACTAAGGCCCCAGGAGGCAAGAGGTGTCGTAGAAGGTGGGACACTAGTCAGCCAATAACATCTAGGGGGTGGAGCTAAAGACAGGCATTAAGTGATACCAAGAGAACAAGGGTGGGAGATGCTACACAAAGGGAGCAGGACTTATTCCTCCCTCCCACACCCATCCACACTTACTCCTACCAATTGCCCCCCATCCAGCCCATGGAGCAGGCAGCAGCGGCGTGGTACAGGCAGCTCTTTATTAACATGTGGATTTTGGGGAGGAGAGAGCCCAGGACTCCCACTCTTTTGCCCCCCCATTTCTGCCCCCCCCCAGGGCAATCACTTGTGGTAGAAGCGCTGGCCCTGACCGTGCTGGATGAAGGGGTGGCGCGTGGGCGGCTGGCTGCTGGCCGGGAACCCTGACTGTGGACAGACAAAGCAGGGGTCAGCGGGGCAAATACGCCCTCCCACTCCCCTATAAATACCCCTCTGGGGCAGTACTCACAGTGTGGGGCTGCTGGGGAGTGGAACCGTGGGGAAAGCTGCCAGGTGAGGCAGGGCGGGCAGGGTGGCTGTAGGCCAAGCCGGACTGTTGGG